ACGATAAGGATTCTTGATGAACGGATAGAATGTAGATCGACACAATAGAAGCATTCCGATAAATTACACTATCAAAATATATGTATTCAACTCTTAGTAATTGGGACACTGGTCAATTTGTTATTCTTCGAATGAAAGTTTTCATACTTATAAATTAGATGTAAAATACTATGAGTCACAATCTTATACTAACTAACAAATGTATAGGAAAACATTTGGACATGTGTAGTCAAGGAAAAACAAATATTTGGACTCCAAATAGTAGTAATTGTTTCATGCTGAACGAAGCAGAAGAATAGCATACAAATATAATTGTTCATTTCGTTGATTGTGACATGTGAGAACCACACACTTTGTTGAAAAACCAAATATCAAATCCTTTTTCTTCCCATAAAAGCCTATACATGTATTTTAATAGATCAAAAAGCTATAGTTACTCACTTGTATAAATACCAAAATTTGATATGACCCCAAGCATTCAACCAAGTTCATCACTTTGCAATAGAACGAAGTCTAATATATGCTGCACTTTTCTGTCATTCCATTTTTCTTTTAGTTTAATTCTGAATTACAGATTGTTTGGTGATTATATGTTCAATTTGGGGAACTAATTCTATTATGAACATTTGTAACTTAAGTGGAGGGTTAGGTCCCTTCAAATTAATAAGTGGTTTTATTTAATTTTTTTTAAGTAGAATATTTGAATTATTTACAAGGGCATTAGGTAATTTAACTTTTTAGTTTTAGGTTTCCCACTTTTATATTAACTAGTTATTCGAAACGTGCGTTGCACGTTGTATTCGTGTCAATTATTATAGTATAGATTTACATACAACAAAATAATTTATCTCTAATTTTATTGTTTTGGAAATTTTAGTATTCATTATATAATTTAGGTGTCGAATTTTGTTTATATGATCTTAACTTTCTTAATCTCTATCTAATAGAATGCATGTTATATTACATTAGATAAGTGATTTCTCTATAATTGTATGAAAATAAAAATAGTGAAGTGTTGTTCTTTGTTGGTTATTTCAAAACAAAAGAAAAGACTACAACTAAGACGCATGGTTGAAATGTCCAGAGGTGCAACCAAAAGCAAAATCGTAAGACCATGGATTGCTACAAACCTCAATACATCACACTAAAATATTATAGTGAGATGTGATCAATGCCAAAGAGGAGAGCGTTGGATCGATTTTAATTCAACTTGTAGCTCTATTTCTTGCCTTTTCTTATGAGTGAAGTACTAATTCATTGTTGTAGACAAGTAAATGTGTGTCATAATCTGCAAAACCACATTTGCTCCTTAAGTCTTAAGATTATAAGTGAAGAGAAGAAAAAAAAGAGAGTATGAATTTCTAACACATCACTTGTATACGTGAAAAGTATAGGAATGGCAGGAGTAAAGGGATTAGTCGTGTTGGTGAAAAGGACATGGCACTTGCTCTACGCATGGAGCGTCCATCCACTATCCACTTAGCATTTGACTTCTACCATGCAGATTTACACTCTATACGCTGGAACAATTCACATTTCATTGCGAGTACCAGAATAAAATAAAAGATAAAATTAAGGTCTTGTCATCTCCAGGAATTTTTCAGAATGTGAATGGCTTGAAATCTATAAAAATCAAACTTGAGAGTCAATGTTATAACAAAGTATGAGAATTATGAAAATTTGTGTTGGCCCAAGTAAATGTGAAGTTTTGAAGACTGACAAAAGAACTCACACATGGACCAGGTTCATCTTGTGAAGTATAGTTGTGATCAACCCAAACATGTGAGGTGCACGTGAAGGAGATAAATCTAACTTATCAGAAGTGATATCTCCTGATCATGATCGAAAAGATTGCATATTGCATAAGGAGGAAGACTCCGTACACAAAGAGAACACGGATTGGGAAAAGGATAGAGTTATAGTATGAGTTCAACTAGAACTCTTCCACCATGAAAGAGTAGCATCTGTATCCTAGTAAATCTCTAATTACTAACTCCTTAAATATCAGTGGTGTTCTCTTTTACAGGTAATGCACATAAGCAGAAGTTAAACGCGAATTGAGAGCAAAATAGCAAGGCAATTTTGCAAGCAATTTATGTGTGATTCAAGCGTGCGATCCTGAAGCTACTTGAACCAGATAGATGAACCAGTTCCAAGTGTCTATCTTTTATTCTAGTTCAATTGTAGTAGGTGATTTTACATTGTACCTTTCAGCTTTTATAGAAGCAATTGTATTAGGTTCTTAGAGTTTTCAAGTTAGAGTTAACTTGAAGTTGTCGCAACAGTTGAGGTTGTGTGCCACAACGGGATTAGAGTTAATCTTAGGTTTACAAAAGAGTTTTTGTAATGCAGTTTTTGGCTCAGTGATTTTAGTGGAGAGTTTGGGAAAATTCTACTGGAAGGTAGGTCTTGATTTTTTCACCTTTTGAGCCAGGTGTTTTCCACGTAAAGTCTCTTTGTTCTTTATTTTCTGTACTTATTATTCCACAACAGTAGTAGTTGGAACACATAGAAGAACCAGGTCCTTCTATAATCAAGTTAATTAAAAATTGGGTACCACACAAATCACCCCCCCCCCCTCCTTTGTGGTATTGAAGTATAAAACATCAGTTGGTATCAGAGCAGGTTATCCTTGAAGAGGCTAACACCTTTGGAACAGATCAAAATGAGTGCACCACCTGGAAACTAGGAAGGGCAATCCAGTGCTAGGCCTCCACTCTTTAATGGCCAGTACTATTCCTGGTGGAAGAACAGGATGGGAGACCACATCATAGGAGAAGACTATGAACTCTGGGACATAGTTACTGATGGTCCCCTGGCTACTACAAAGAAGAATGCAGTGGCCTTATCCACTGCTGAGGCTGAATATGTTGTTGCTGCCTCTTGTTGTGCTCAACTGCTGTGGATCAAACAGCAGATGATAGATTTTGGCATGAAGTTGGTTGCATCCCTATCTTTTGTGATAATACTAGTGCTATAGGTATGACAAAGAACCCAGTTCATCATAAGAACTCAGCTTATTCTGAATATGTGATGTTTATAACCTAATTAAGCTGGTCCTTGATGATAAGTCAATTTTTTAAACTTTGTATTGATGAATAAGATGAGTTCTTACAGGGCCTAAGTGAGTGAAAAGCAGAGTTTGTCATCATCAAAAAGGGGGAATTTGTTGGCCCAAGTAAATGTGAAGTTTTGAAGACTGACAAAAGAACTCAGACATGGACCAGGTCCATTTTGTGAAGCACAGTTGTGATCAACCCAAACATGTGAGATGCACGTGAAGGAGATAATCTAACTTATCAGTAGTGATATCTCTTGATCATGATCGAAAAGATTGCATATTGGATAAGGAGAAAGACTCCTTACACAAAGAGAACACGGTTTGGGAAAAGGATAGAGTTAGAGTATGAGTTCAACTAGAACTCTTCCACCATGGAAGAGTAGCATCTGTATCCTAGTAAATCTCTAATTACTAACTCCTTAAATATCAGTGGTGTTCTCTTTTACATGTAATGCGCATAAGTAGAAGTTAAACGCGAATTGAGAGCAAAATAGCAAGGCAATTTTGCAAGCAATTTATGAGTGATTCAAGCGTGCTATCCTGAAGCTTCTTGAACCAGATAGAAGAACCAGTTCCATGGTGTCTATCTCTTATTCTAGTTCAATTGTAGTAGGTGATTTTACATTGTACCTTTCAGCTTTTATAGAAACAATTATATTAGGTACTTAGAGTTTTCAAGTTAGAGTTAACTTGAAGTTGTCGCAACAGTGGAGATTATGTGCCATAACGGGATCAGAGTTAATCCTAGGTTTACAAAAGAGTTTTTGTAATGCAGTTTTTGGCTCAATGATTTTAGTGGAGAGTTTTGGAAAAATCCTACTGGAAGGTAGGTAGTGGTTTTTTCACCTTTTGAGCCAGGTGTTTTCCACGTAAAATCTCTATGTTCTTTATTTTCTGTACCTATTACTCCGCAACAGTAGTAGTTGGAAAACATAGAAGAACCAGGTCCTTTTATAATCAAGTTAAGCGAAAATTGGGTACCACACAAATCACCCCCCTCCCCCTTGTGTGGTATTGAAGTATTAAACAACAATTCGGTATGGAAGATGTTATATACGAATAGGAATAATTCCAAGAAGTTGATTAGTTCTTGAATTTGGAAAGTGTAATACATGTATAAGAATTTGAGAAGTACTCAGCTCTAAAAAATTATGATTAACTAAATGCAATATGTACAAATAAGTTATTTGAAAATTCTATACATACTTTAGATCTCAAGAGAAACTTTATAGTTTACTTCTTGTAAGGTTGAAGGGATAATTTTGTTATTAAAGGGGTTGACATGTCTCCTCTAACCTCTTTAATTTACGCCTCCATTGCTTGTGTTGGGGCTTCCTCTCATTTGAGAAAAATTGGATGGAAAAGGACGATATGTAATTTTTAATGAGACTGACAGTAATCGGTGGCAACTCCTGATGCGGAAAGGTGCGACTGTCAATGGGTAGGTTCGCATAACCGCTGCAATTTGGTTTTTTTTTTTTTTTTTCTCCTTTTGTGTTTGTTTTAAATTTTAGGTTATTTAAAAGGGTAATTTAGTCTTTTGACTTTTTAGTTTAGGGCCTCATGGTTTCAAAATAGTATATGATAAAATTTGTTTTTAGTTTATATATTATTGTAAATGCATCAAATTTATATCATAGGCTGCTTGTCGAGATGGAAGATAGATGAAAGTGGAGAAGTGTGACAGAGAAGATATGTAATTTCATGAGATGTTTGGGAAGATGAGATGAAAGTGGGTAATTTGCAGAGAAGAGAGATTAAATGGGTAATTTATAGTGGTTTATTTTTTAATAAAAGTAATGATACGTATCACAACTTTATTCAAAACCCGGTCAAGAGAAAAAGTAGTATGTCTTATGCATACTCTGGAAAAGTTAACCGTGCAAGATAATTTTTGCATAGTTCAAGAGGTAACTTATGTATTTAGCCACAAGAAAAAGAAAGTAGAAAAATACACGTTATTGTATATAAGCATGTAAGAATTAGTTGTTGAAACAAAAAGCCACGTATAAGCTAATTTACATTTTCACTTTGCTTGCACGCGACTAAATGGAGGTGAAATAGCTCTACCTATCACTTGGCATGAGAGGAAGATGAGAGGGCATTACTTTTTGGATGCTAAACTATCCTTACTCTCGCTAGTGTGGTATTTCCAAGGCCTTAACTCAAGCCACGCTTTCTGCTAGGCTTTCACTGTCTTCCTTGAATGGTCATTAGCGATCAGAGTTATTGCAGTTGTAACCTGAGATGTTTCAATCAACACATTGTAATTATTCTATGAGATTGCTATATCAAAGGTTTCTGTACAAGTTGAAGAATGTTACCCCAATTTAATTTCGTCTTCTTCTGATCTATTGACGTGTACTGGAACGCATGATTTCGCTTGTCCACTGAAACTTCCCTCTTCTTTTCTATTGTCAATTGCTCCATAACCCTGAGAAAAGAAAAAAACTACTTACTAGTATTTAATTTTAATTATGAAGTAGACATCTCTGTTTTGTTTATAACAGAAATCTGTACGTACCTTCTTAAGAAGTTGTCTGTTTTCATGTTGGACGAGAGTGATCTTCTTAGAAAGTTCTATATTTTCATGATGAATAAGAGCTCTCTGGATATTAATTAGAGGTGGTAAGTAATTAGAACAAGTGCAAAACAGCTCCTAATTACAGTGATTTATATACTGTGATTAAAAAACCTTTTGATTTAATTCTTCTATCTCATCAGTAAGCATTTTTTCCTGCAGAAACGTGAAAGCTCGTGAAATATTGAACACTGATGTAAATATTGGATAAGGAAGAGGTTTTCTTGCCTTTTTAGTGCGGATATTTTTCAATCTCATTTCCAGTTGGTTTTCCAGAGCGTCGAGATCACTGATACTCATGCCTGAAAGTTCTTCACCTTTAAGTCTCCTGCAATATTTTTTCACATGTACCTGACTATAAGCTTTGATAGTTGTTGACATTCTGTAACTTTGCTGATAATCAAAGACATCAGCATAATACGTGTCAGATTGGTCTTGCCTTTGTTTTACTAGTAAGTAATTGATGATAGTAGATTGGATACAAATTTTTCATTCTTAAACGTAACTAGAATAAGATCATGTATCCTCAGTCCAGATTAAGATCAAGCATAACCGTGGAAATTTATATTCAACAAAGACAGAGGCCCCAAATTATTTTCTGAATGTGATGATCTTGATATGTAGTTATTCAGCTCTCTCCTGCAAAATATATGTGGACATTTTGACAACTACAACCTGCCTTATATTTTCTAATGAATTGCTCCCCAAATCCTTGTCTATAATTGAGGCGACATCAACAGCTGTTCTTGTAGAGTACACCAACTTCATCAGTAAGAGAGGATCTTTCACCCTATAATACATTTCTACTTTGGAGTGTTTTTGACGTTTGTTACCACAATCAATGTTGTATAGTGTTGATATATATGAGAAATAGCCAGGAAGTCATGCTATAATCACTACAAATGCTTATAAGAATTCATTTGTAGTGTATATATATATATATTCCCTTGAAACATTTTTAAGCTAATGTGCGTCTACATTAGAATAACTGTACAAAATATATGCATGCGGCTAGGCGAAGGGGATATTATGCATGCTCTTGGAAAAAGTAATATGTGAACCTGTAGTTCTCTTGCAGATCGTCCATTTGCTGTCTCAGCCTTTCTGTCTCTGTCTGCCACAACTGGCAGTTAAGAAACGTCAGAGGGTCCGATGCAATTGAACATTCATGGCTAGATAAAAATTTGGATTGAATTGAGCTAACTAAGTTCTGTTTAGACGATTATTAATAATTAATGTTAGTGAAGTCTTGGATCTGTAAGGAGTAAAATGAGTAGAAGATTACCCTGGCCTCTGAAGAGGGTGTCAACAATTGATGGTGTTCCTTCTCTTCATTATATCTGTCAAATATTGATTTCATGCTGATAAAGAAAAGCTAAGATATTAGTCAATTGGAAGGTCTACATTGCCAAGATAAAGGTGAAATTATGCTATTTATTTGGCGATGAGGAGATTAAGAACATTATAGCATGCGAACGTGTGATTACACACATGAGCAAATCAAGGAGCTTCAATTTGCCTCCTCTAATCTTAGGAAGAATGAGAGTAACCGTTCTCTTACTACACTTTTGCACTGATAGACCACCAACTTATACATGAGATTTTTGCTACTCTAAAACTGAAAGAGAAGTGATCTAAGTATGAATTTATGTGCTCAAGCACCCATTAATCCCAACGTGAGCTTTGGTAGTTATATAGAAAATAGTAAGAGAACTCAATTAATTAGAATAGTCAATACCCAGTAAACAAAAAGATCCCTTGGTGCTTTGGATCAAGGGCGAAAGTTAACGCTCGAGGTGTTTGGAGGTGCATGAGTACGATTCTTAAGCAAAGCATTCGCTACTTTTCCACAACACATTGACTTTCTCTTCTTTCCCCAATTCCAAATCACATATTATTCTTTTGGGTCCTTTGGTTTGAATACGACTTATGTCGGAATAAGTTATGCTGGGATCAGGGGCGGCCTGACAAAGCCTAAAGCCAAACTTCATGAGGGGTCTTAACTTTTTAATTTTTTTATTATTATTATTTAAAGTCTATTTTTTTTTTTAGCTTTTCTTATATACAAAGTTATTTAATTTTCTTATATTCAATATTTCTTAATAATAAGTATTTCTCAATTGACAATATAGCTAATCCACTTATTTCTTGTGACATTGTTGTTCTTAGGTAAGATTTTATCAATTTTAATTTCTTCTTTCCGTTGAAGCAACGATAACTTGAATTATGAACATTATTCCATAAGCAATTTAGGCATTCGGAAAAGAATTAAATCTTTTTATTTGATTAAGTGTATCAAGTAAACTGTTATCTTTTAATTGTACTATTTTCCGTAATATTTTTAATTCAGAAAATAAATCTAAACCAATATCAAATTTATTATTACGCTTTAAAGAACATTCAAGATTAAGGCAATATTTTTTCAAATTTCCAACATCTAGTGATCTTAGTTTTTACTGCCAAATAGAAAACCAAAAATAATTTCATATGTTTCGAATTGTTCAAATCTATTTTGAAGTGAAAAATAGTCTTGTCTATTATGTATAAAAGTAATCAAATCTAAAGGACTCTTCGAAAGATTTTGAGATTTCATTATCAACATTCGCATCAAATTGTCACTTCCTATATATCACAAGTTTCTTACGAAATTCCGGTTCGATATTCATTTCAAGTGCAATTTCCTTGGTAGAAATCATAGCAGTTGCAAATCCTTCTTCTCTATATTTGTTAGAAAGAAATCAAACTTTTTCACTCTACAGAACATAGTCTATTAGCTGTAACAAAAAATGGGTCCCCCACAAATATGGGGCCTAAAGCGGTTGCTTTACTTGCTTTATGGAAGGGCCTCCCTTGGCTGGGATTAGTTATTCTAGCATTATTTTTTTGTGATGACCCAAAGGGTCATCACCTCTTTTCTTACTCATTCCGTGCTTCCGAGGCCTTGAAAACCTCATTTGTAGTCGCCTCCTTTTGCGTGCGCAATCCGGGCGCGTAGCCAGAAGGCTTAATTGTGAAATTGTGTGAAAAATGTTAATTTTTGGTATTAAAATGAATAAATTTGACTTCGGTAAACATTTTGGGTAAACGGATCCGGACCCATAATTTAGCGGTCCCGGAGGGTCCGTAGGAAAATATGGGACCTGGGCGTATGCCCGGAATCGAATTCCGAGGTCCCAAACTCGAGAAATAAATTTTTGAGTAAAATTGTTTTTCTGAAATTATTAAGGAAAATTGAAATGAAAATTGCTTAGAACGTGTTGGTATCGGGCCCGTATTTTGGTTTCAGCGCACGGTACAGGTCTTATATGTGATTTAAGATGTTTCTGTAAAGTTTGGTTGAAATCGGACGTCGTTTGACGTGTTTCGGACTTGAAATCCTAAATTTGGAACTTGATGAAGTTTTGGAAAAATTCCTTGAATTTGAGGTCTAATTTGTTGATAATGAAGTTATATTGGCGATTTGATCGCACGGTTAAGTTCGTAGGATGTTGTTGAGTTAGTGCATGTGTTTGGTTAGGAGCCCCGAGGGTTCGGGAGTGTTTCGGAGGTGTTTCGGAGTGGTTTCAAACTTAGAAAAATTGCAGGTTTTGGCTTCAGCAGTTGCAGGTCCATTTCTTCTTCGCGATCGCGAAGCCTCTTCCGCATTCGCGAAGCTTCAGATTTACCCTTCAACGCGTTCGCACCCCTGCACTCGCGTTCGCGTAGAGTTGTTTGACCCTGGGGGACTTAGCCTTCTTTCCTCTTCGCGTTCGCGTTCGTACCCTCGCGATCGCGTAGCTTAACGGAACTTCTTCATCGCGTTCGCGTGCAGTCCCACGCGTTCGCATAGGCCAAATTTCTGGACCCCAGAATTTCCTTCTCCGCGTTTACGATTCTCATCTCGCGATCGCGGTGGCCTGTCAGTGCTACCCTTCGCGAACGCAAAGGGCAATTTCGCCCAGTTATATTTTTAATTCCAAAACAGAACAGTGACGGGATTTTTCACAAGTTTTCACGAGCTCTTTCTTCTCCAAGGTCCTTAGGCGTCCATTGAAGCTTTCTTTCACCAAGACTTCTTGGGTTTGTAAATTTCAACTCGTTTTCTTCATATTCCATCAATATCTATTGAATTCCTAAGCCTAAAACATGTAATTTAGGGTAGAAATTGGGGGAAATGGGTAGAGTTAGGGCTTTTTGATTTTTCTTGATTTAGACCTCGTTTAGGGGTCGAATTTGAAAACAAATTATATATTCGGACTCGTGGGTGAATGAGGGATTTGATTTTGGTCCGAACCTCGTGTTTTGACCAAGCAGGCCCGGGGTCAATTTTTGGGATTTTGGGAAAAAAGCTTGGAAATCTATAATTAGGCATTAGGTTTGATTTGTTTAGCATATATTGATACTATGAAGTCATTATTGTATAGATTTGATTGAGTTGGAGCCGAATTCGAGAGGGAAAGCGGTTTTTGTGGATTGATTTGGCCGTGAAAGTTGAGGTAAGTGTTTGGTCTAACCTTAGCTTGAGGGAATAGGAGTTGAGTCTTATTTTCTACTTGCTAATTGTCGAGTACGATGTATAGGCATGGTGACGAGTATCTATACATTGGTGTCTAGCATGACCGTGAGTCCTTATATTGCGAATATCCTGGTTTTGTTATAGCTCCATACTTAATTGATGATTTCTACATGTTGTAAAGAGTATGTGAAAGGAAATTGTGATCTTTGAACTTCGTGGAGCGTTGGCTCGAGTTGAAATACAAATTGTGAAGGTATATGAGATATTTAAATCCTTGGAGCGTTGGCTCAAGTGATAATGTGAACTATGAGATGAAAGTGAAAGAAAGAGAAAGAGTTATTGGTTTATTCTCTTGCCGGGACGTTTTGTTGTTTTGTTGATTTTCTCCCTTGCCGAGACATGGAAATTTATTGATATTGTTTCCTTGCCGGGATTTAATTGTTTAATTGCATTCCCTTGCCGGGATTTCTATCATTATTTGTTTACTTTCTTGCCCCTTATTTGTGATTGTTGTTTGGGTGAGGAAGAATGATAAAGCACGAAGGGTGATGCCGTGGATTGTATGATATTTGTGGATCGGGTTGCACGCTGCAACAATGCTAAATGATATGGATCGGGTTGCACGCCGCAACAATGATATTTGTGGATCGGGTTGCACGGCGCAACAATGCTAAATGATATGGATCGGGTTGCACGCCGCAACAATGTTCTTATATATTGGGATCGGGTTCCATGCCGCAACAATTATTGATACAAGTGTGTTTATTTTGGATATTAGTTTCTTTGTTCGCTGTAAATTCTAAGTTGCCATTAGACTGTTACTCTGGATTTACTGTAAATACTGGTAACCCCCCCCCCCCGCAGCATGTTTCCCCCTCCCATCTTTACTTGTTTATTCCTGCTTTACTTTCCGTTGCATATTATATAACTGCACAGATTTAATTGGTAGTCCGGTCCTAGCCTCGTCACTACTTCGCCGAGGTTAGGCTAGGCACTTACCAGCACATGGGGTCGGTTGTGCTGATACTACACTCTGTGCTATTTTGCACAGATCCAGGTTTTGGACAGCAGCAGCAGTAGCGCGGGAGCAGGCCTTCAGTCCAGCGAGACACCGAGGTAGCCTTGCAGGCGTCCGCAGGCCCGGCGTCTCCCCTATTTTTTACTTTAGACTGTTATCTCATTGTATTCGAGACAAACAGATATATTTCTTTCAGACATTGTATTTAGTATTCTTAGATGTTCGTGAGTATTATGACACCAATCTTGGATAGAGGCTTATGTTGAAATCTTCCGCATTTCCATTCAGTTTTTCGTTAATTTAAGACTTCCGCTTATTTAGTTAAATCAGTTGCTTTTATTTTAATGCTGATAAATTATTAAAAAGGATTATGTTGTTAATGATAAAGTAATTAATGTTTGGCTTGCCTAGCTCCCAGTAGTAGGCGCCATCATGACCCCCGAGGGTGGGAAATCCGGGTCGTGACAAGTTGGTATCAGAGCTCTAAGTTACATGGGCCTCTCAACTCACAGACAAGCTTAGTAGAGTCTGAGGGATCGGTACGGAGACGTCTGTATTTATCCCCCAAAGGCTACCGAGTTAGGAAAAGTTTCACATTTGTTCTTTCTTGTCGTGCGGTTTGGTTTCTCAACGCTAATTGAATTTCCACTCTGTTCTTTCGCAGATGGCGAGAACACGCGCTTCCTCATCTTCTGACCAGCAGTTTGAGCCCCAGGCAGCTCCCACTAGGGGCAGAGGGCGAGGCCGAGGCCGTGCTAGAGGCTGAGGTAGGGGCAGGGCTCGGCCCCGAGCAGCAGCACCAGTGGCAGAGCCTCGGGTTGACTTCGACGAGGAGGTTCCGGCCCCAG